CTCGGACATGTTTGACTACTTCATCAAATGACCAGTCACCATCCAGCTGTACACGAAACGGCAACGTCGAAACAAACATCCCTATCATGTTTTCAAATTAACTCACGGTCAAACTGATTTATGTATTTCTTCTATTAACGCTAATCGATATCGAAGTGAACTAGAAAACATGATAGGGATGTTTGTTTCGACGTTGCCGTTTCGTGTACAGCTGGATGGTGACTGGTCATTTGATGAAGTAGTCAAACATGTCCGAGAACAGTGTTTATCCACTATAGAACATTCTCAGTATCCGCTGCAGCATATTCTTGTTGACTGTGGCCTTAACCAAGCAAACGCATTTTTCTTAGCGACTATGTTTGATCTTATCAGTACATCTTCAAATGTCACTCAGTTTTCATTGAATGGTACGCTGTTAGAAGAGGCGTCGATAAATCAGACGTCTGAGATGGCTAAGTTTGATTTTTCAACGACATTTGCATACAATCCCACCTCAAATATTGGTAAATTGTGTAGCTATTTTGTTTGTTCAGAAGATATGTTTGAGAACAAGACTATCCAAACAATAGCTCAACGATTTCAATATTTGATATCTCAGTTGTTCGCACCTCATTCTTCCAATACACAAATAAAACCGCTGACAAAGTCCATTATTCTATTGGATGTAATTCTACCTGGAGAAGCCGAAGAAATACTTAAATGGTTAGACGATTATCATCTGGATGCTGTTTATGAAGGTATAGTTATTCATTAGATAAGTTGCTTTGGAGGGATACTTTTGAAAGGATGAAAATAGTTTTAGTTCACGTTCTTAACAAAATTCCATGCTCCGATTTCTCCTACTGTTGTAAGTAATTCATACTTGCAAGGAAAACTGTACACGGATATCAAGCGAGAATATTGAATTGTATAGTATCTTTCTTCACCAACAGTTTCATTGACAGAGAGAATCAAGTTACCTGGTTAATGTTCGTCCTCTGTTGCGAATGAAACGACTACCAAATTATTGCAAATAGGCTGAGTTTATTTTCATAAGGAATTAGAAGCGAGCACTGTGTGGATCAGTGAAAACTTGTAGATAAACACCGAGAGACGATCCGCTGAAAGGCGATAGAAGAATTCTAATGGAAGCGACTCATATAGCAGTACTGTCTCCTTTGTGTTTGTTTCCTGAAATGGTGCTAGCGACGGTTGACAGTTTGATAGAAAAGAGGATGGAAGAAGAATTATTCATATGGGGCAAATATGAACCAGAACTAATGAGCAAAATAAGGCTGTCGATGAAAACGGCTATTTGTGGGTGATCGGACGGTGAAAGACCAACGAATGACTGGACGTCGCATTGCGCAGTTCAAATAAAACTCAATCTTTTCCCCTTAATCTTGCTAAAACAGGCAACTCTTGATGCGTATGAGTAAGAACACTCTGCATAGTACTAGCTAACAAGAGAGTGAAATAAATAAATAAAGTTACTACTGTTAGAGAAACTAAAAGTTTTGCAATTTTTCCCTGGTAAGTTGATGTTTCTACGTGTCATTACTTCATCCTTTAGTATACCTTCCTTTTGTGCTTTTGAAAAGTTGTTTCCACACGACTTAGCAGAACCTTCAATGCGCTTCTTTAAAAAAAAATTCGTCTCGCTTGAATGAACCTTGACCAAACAATGAGAAAATCAAAATGTGGCCATTCTTTATGGTACACCCGTTATATGTAGTCCCTGTCATAGTTTTTTTCATGCAACGTCAACGCTAGTGCGCCGTGTTGCTCATGTGTATTGCATAGAACAGCGATCAGCTGTATGAAAAATGTTAGGAAATAATTGTGATTAAAATATATATATTCTGCATTAAAAATGAATTGACATAGCACTACTACAAGTGATGTTTAATCGACTCTAGTCGATCCTGACATCCTTCAAGTCTGTTTTTATTTTATTTTAATTGAAAAAATCCAGCTTTACCAGCAAAATACACACTGAAAATACTTTCTCCTAACTCCTTTTGTCGACAAATATTAGTCAGAGTATCACAATAGAATTTAGACAAATTCAGCATATAAACCCTTGTCTTCTTTTTGTCTTGATACTACAGGACTTACCATACTCATAATCGAATTGATGGCAGTGCAGTTAACCAATCAAAATTTCTTGAAACCCAAAAATTTATTAAAACTAGTTGAACTTACGGTATAATTGATTTTTATCAGTTATAAAAATTAATAATCGATGAGAATGGGTTGATACGAAGGCTTACTAATACAGGTGATGACAATCGATGAAAAATCAAGTTATTCGATTAAAAACCGACTATGATATACATGTAAATAATTTTCGGCTCTAAACATGTTTCGACTGCGCGCCAGATGCGTCCGAACGCGTTCAGATTAAATTTCAAAATTAGGCAAAAATCTTTCAGCTACTATCACAGTCATGAGCTGATGGTCTCAGTCTATTCTCACACATGAACTGAATTTTTATCTGACTTCCTGTGATAGAGCATTGAGCGTACACCACTGATCTATGCTTGCTCGAAACATATTAGTATAGAAAAGAACATGTATTTGACTAGACGTGTACATTTATACAGATCAGTAGAAAGATATTCATTTTGTGTAATTTTCAAGGAAATACAACGCATCGTCTCATTTCTTACGAATAATCTCATATAATATCAAACGAATTTGTATTTCTTTTCTTTCTGTTTCTATTTGAAGCAAAGAAATTGAAACGCAATTTTAAAGAATTAGCAGCACGTAGATGCCATTTTGGGAATCATATGTGTTTGTACGCGTTTATCCTGTGTCTGGTGTTTGCATGGGTAGTATGATTTTATTTCATTTTCAATTTGGAAAGATTCGATTTTAATTACGTTCTCTTTCTAAAAACCTTTGCATGAGTAATCACTCACGTTAAAGATTACACTCATTTTATGACATTAGTTCTAAACTTACGTATATAATTTTTTGCACGTGCTTAAAAAACGCAAATCGATGTTTTTATGCGAACAAAAAAAAACCAGAAAATATCAGTTTCTTGAAGTCAAGAAAAGATTGAAAAACACACGGTACATCGGGGAGTGTGAGTCAATATGTGGAGTGCGTTATGTATGACATAAAGGATTGTCTCGGCACCTTCTTTTTCGTTTGACCAAGGCAGCTAATTTTGGAAAATGTTGGCGGTAGAGAATGGTTTATACAGAATCGGCTGGATGTAAATGGCTGATTTAAGGGAGGTCTACGAACGACTGATGTTAAGTTGTTTCAGTTATTCGAAGCATAATGAAGTAAATGAGAGTTCATACCTTTTGAACAAATGACATTAGGTGACTCAACTGATTCGATACATACATTTAACAACAAAACATTCGGAATATAGCAAAACCTCAAGAACGGTTTACAACTGTTGAATAGGTTTACGAAGAGAAAAACTAGTACAAAAGTATATCAATTTGTCGAAGTTGATCAATTGTTGGCAAAATGAAAAGCACTTTAATATAAGACGCAGTTCTTTAACTTTATAATTCAACAGCAGAAAAAAATCTGTTATTTAGATGACAAAAGACGCGTATGTGGGAAAAATCATTTCAACAGACACTTGACACCGTACCAGAGCTCCGCGGGATAACCAAAAATTTGGCCCGTCCCGTCCCGCTAATCCCGCTCCGCCTCACTTTGTACTTTATTCTCAGGTTAATATTATTAATTTTAGCATCTAGGTATATTTAACTCATATTGACATACAAAAAAAACTTGTATCACAAAAATTTAATACTTGAAAAATATTCTCCGTCAGAAAGAAGGAAATAAGATTAAATGCTGTTCATCACGTGACCGATCTAACGAAAAGTATGTTGTCGAGATTTTCTGGATTGATTGAAGCTCTGCGTTTGCTCATAACGATTCCACCACTGCTGAATTCGCGTTCAACTGCGGAAGTCGTCGCAGAAATACAATGAATTATTCGTGCAAGTTTTGATAATAATGGCAGATTCTTCTGATTTGCCTTCCAGAAAAGTAAAGGATTGTCGACAATCAGCTCGGGATCGGTATGCATTGACAAATACTTGTCGATTTCTTCCTTATCATCAAGTTTGTCGCATTCGTCGCTGTGGTTCCCGCTTTCATATTCATGGCCAACTCTTTTCTCTTCTTTGGCGGTGGTTCCTCTCTAACTTCGCGTTGACTTGCTGGATCTTTCTCTCGAATTGAAAACAAACGTTTTATCTTTTCTCGGTCAGCTATTTGTTTAAATTCTCTTCGGATGTGGCTTTTGCAAGAATTAATTTGATCGTTTGAGCATCTGTGAAGATATCTGTATCTTGGATGAAGAAATGCTGCAACATAGTGAATGGGTTCCAAGACAAACATGTTTTTCAATAATTCAAGTAAACGAAGTCGAAAGAATCGAATCCCTAAAACCAAAGGAACAGTCTTACTTCTATTATGTTATGACTGTTCATCTGATATTCTGTATCAGATAAAATTATTAGGCTTACCATCTGACTGTTCGGCTTCGGTATCATCTTGATCATCATCACTCTCTTTTTTTGTTGCTGACACATTGTCGTGCGCGTCGTTTTCTTTGTTAAAATCGATCAAATCTTCGAATGAACTTAATGTTTTACGTGAAGCCATAACACAAATAAGAACTAGGTACAGTGATGGATCCTTCCCTTTTTGCGCAATGACTATAATGTGTTTGAATGGACGTAATAAATATACAGGGTGCTCAATAATCAATCGATTGATTACAAGCAACTTCTTCTTTTCCAGCAAAATCTTTTTTGTTTCTTTGAAAGAGCGGTCAATTGATTCTAATAATTTCATTATTGAAAGCCAACGGATTTTACTGGATTGACACAAACTAACATCACCGGCAGATTGAATATCTTCACTCAATCCATTCTAGAATATGAACACGGGAAACTATAAATTGACATATCTTCATTCATGAACTTACCAGTTTGGCATATTTTACGAGATTTTTGCAACTGTTGAGAACTTTCAACACTTCACGAGCAGAATGAGGTAGATATTTAACTTTTGTTTTTGAAATGTCGTCATGCAATGCATTACAACTAAATAGATCTCTTGAGTCGGTTGCATTTTCATCTGTTGACTCTGAAGAATTGTTTGTTTGTCTTTTAACTGACTCATTCTGATAGGAACACAACACCAATATATTGTTCAGCCTGTGAGCAAAACAAAGATGAAGAATAGTTCTTCATTGCTTTTCCGAAGTTCGAACCGCGATCCATAACAAATTTAAGAAGAGATAAATCATTGATGTTGAATCGTTCTAATACTTTGCCTAACGCCTAAGAAATACAAGTAATTACAAGAGGAAGATAAAAAAAGATACTCACCACGACGACTCTTGCAGCAGTCTTATCATCTTCTTCAAATGGAGAACAACAAAGATCGTACGATCTATATTCGAACTCGTCATTCACAAGTGCGGCAGCAATTCCAAGATCAAAAATTTGATGAATAGAATCGCTCCGCAGATAGGGACAAAATGCAACAGCATCACTCGCGAGAGGTTCAACTAGCTCTTCACCGATCTGAACACGATGCTGGCCAGCAAGTTTGAATACGTGTGCAGCGACTACATCAATGCAATCATGACGAGCGCCTTAAAGAAAATATTATGGAAAAACTATCGAAGTTTCACGATCAACTGCTTACCGATACAGATACATTTCTGGATTAATCACCGAAGACCTGTATGTTCAACAACCGAAAATGGACGAACACTTCAACAAACCCATTCTGCTTGTAAATCTTTTATCTTCAAAATTTCAGATGTCTTTAAAATCGGCGGTTGCCCTGAGAAAAAAGTTGTTAAACATCGTCGGGATAATAATGTTCCATTCGATGCCAATCTCTTATTTCGTTCTTTTGAGCCTTCACAATCGTACTGATTGAGAAATCTAGTACTGTTTGATATGAATGAATATATGCCAAAGCACTTCCTGCATGAAACAAATCCATTAATCCGTCCAGCATCGCCGTTGATGTTGTTGATCGCAGGAAACTCAAACAACGTCCAACAATTAGACGTGTGCTTGCCCGTGTTCTCAATGATAATATATTCATTGGGCCTAGTTTTGAGCATCGATTGAATTTCAGCACGTTTGGCTTTGTCAAAACTTTGAGGAGAGGGAGATGATGAGTCGGCTAAAGCTATTTGAGAACCACGAGATGTACTATTCCCGATGCATGAGGTGGAAACCGGCGATAAAATTTCTGGAGAAGACATGAAGTTGACGATCAGTTGGATATTAACTGTATATTTCTGAAAATTATAAATTATTAGATGGATAAGAGATACAAAAAACTGAACGTTGCCAAACGAAAGAAGAAGAAAACAATGCTCGAGGGGAAATTCATCATTTTCAAGATGACTAATCGAATCAGTTGTATCACTTATCGTGGAAAAATAAGAATCCGATGAAATCCTAGTGACGGAATCGCATTGGATTCCGACGGTCTCGGATCCGAAACATGGATTTCCTGGATTTTCTAAGGGCCATCATAGAATATAGCTAAAAAGATCGCTCATAAATTTGCAACAACTGACCGGATTTTTCCAGTCGGATTCCAATGCAATTCCGTTTCCAGGAATCCGATCGGATTTTGTCGGATGGTCGGATCCGGTCAGATCCGATCGGATCCAGCATCGGATTTGTTAACCTGGGTATTATTCAAAAGAATAGACGTCAACTTTCCCTTGGGATATGTCCATTCAAGAATTCTACAAAGTTCGACTATATTTTGCCATGTGATCCTGTACATTCCGTATATGACTCCTCGTGCTACAAAACAGCAAAGTGATATGTTCAGTAATTGCAGCTAGATCATTCAAAAAATTTAATACTATTCGGCGTTCGCTGCATGACAGAGCGTGAATAAACACCAATACTTCGAGAAAAATTTGTTGATTTACTGTAGAACTTTTGTTTTCTGATCACTAACGTATTTTTCCTCATAATGCGTGTAAGAAATATATTGATATTTTTATCCTAATCTTAACAAAGTTTCAATACTAAGAGAAACCGAACAGTTGTCGTTCTCCTTCAGAAATGTAATATATTCCGACTGTTATGAGAGAAAGAGAGAATGTGTCAAAATCATTACACTTCACCATAGAAAAGCGCTTTATTTATATTGATCAATTTTATAATACTTGAAAACGTCTCATAGGTCAATGCAGGTTGACTGGTTCAAATTAAGCGCACCCTGGATCTATTTTAAACTTAAGATCAAACTACGCCTAGGGAAGAACTTTTGTATACTGCATCGGTTTCCATATTTATATTTAGTCATTAAGAGTGTATAATTCACATTTGAACTAATCTTCTCCCGGCCCGCTGAAAAAAGGATACGAGGAGACGAGATCACGGTGAAATAATATAGACTGCTCTGTATTTTACTTTTCTGTTGATATTTTCTTTAAAGTTGCGATACTGAGGTGGTGGAAACATACGTAGAAAGCAGACATACAGTTTTGCAGAAGATTTTGAAGACACTAAAACAAACAGTTTGTTTTGCATTCAGAAACAGAGCAAAAGACCGTCAGTAACGTGACATGACTCCATCCAAGGTATACTCACTAGGGGTGGCATCTTCAGGGTGTGGAGCGGGGGATGATTGAATGAACAGTTTATTAGCTAAATTCAACTCTCGAGTTTGATACTATTGCACCTTCTACCTTCAACTACTCTTTCTCGCTAGCGCCAGCATCCTATGCTCAACATCAGCTCTGTCGCAGCAATCTCCACACAAGCCACCCTGCCAAGTGCAACATGCCCTTCGTTTATCGTCTCACAACAGCTCATACTCTATCACCTGAACATCTTCGCCGTGCCCTCCAACACATCATTCGTAGACATCAAGCACTTCGAACATCAATTCTTCTCGACGCTGAAAACGATCTGTTCATACAACATATTATGAGTGAAGAACAAGGTCAAAATAACACATTCTCGTTCGTCGAAAGCACCTACGAAACAGATGAACAATTGAAGAACATTGTTCATGATGAGCAAACTAACTGTCATCATTTCGATCTATCTCGCGGAGTTGTTTTCCGTTTTCACATTGTCTATCACAAGCAGAAGCCTTCCAGTGAAGTTCTTTCGATGAACGATGTACTTATATTTAATTTTCATCATGCCATATTCGATCTTGCATCGATGGATATATTTCTCGACGATCTCAATCGAGCATACACAACAGGTCAATTAGCGAATGATGATCGTCCTGCTCTACGCTATCTCGATTGTAAATATAAGCATTCATATATTGTGCAACTCGTTCATACATACACTCTCTGACTTCTTTAGATGCTACTATAGAACAACGAATGCCAATGACTGGTGCCGAAATGTTCTGGCTCGATGTACTTCACAATTGCAATATCGATCAACCATTGCCACTTCCATATGATCGATATCGTGTTGTGAATGAACATGCGACAGGCCATGAAACATCGATTTCGTTTGCTTTCGATGCAGATGTGTCGCATGATCTGCTCACATATGCATCAACGAAGCAGGTCACTCTTCAACATCTAGCCCTTGCGACGTACTATGCATTTCTATTCAAGCTTACCAGTGGAGAGAAAGATCTCTGTATTGGAATGAGTAGCGATGGTCGATATCGAGATGAACTGAGGTCGATCATTGGATTATTTGAAAGTGTCATTCCACTGCGTTGTCAATTAGATCCGCACTGGTCTCTTCGTCGATTGCTCGATGTTGTATGTGATGTGGCAACAAAGAGTATGAAGTATTCTTATTTTCCTCTTCGACGAATTCTAAACCAACATCAACATGCGTCCGCACCCACGTTTCTTCGTGTGCTGTTCGACTTCCAGTCAGACGAAAGTAAACACAAGCAGCAGCAGCAGCAGCAGCACAAGAAGGATGTGTTGATTGGCGATGCTCAGCTTCACTGTGTGTCTACTTGTGCCAAGTGGAACAGGTATGTGTCCGTCAACGAACTCGATTTGTCCTTTTCTATCCAACACGATATCGCTCACACTCATGGACTCATCTGCACGATTGATGCATCACTCGACCTCTTCTACGAGACGACAGTCGACAAGATGGCACACCGATTTGGTACCATGTTACAACAGCTGTTTCTCTCGCCGAACGATGAGCAGATGGAGAGACCGATCTATGAGCTGTCGTTGATGTCAGTCGATGAGAGGATAATGATGATGTCGATGAACAACACACAGGTGGCATTTCCTTGTGTTTCTTGTATTCATCATGAATTTGCTTTTCAAGCTATGCAGCATTCACAGAAGGTAGCCGTCGAACTTGATGAACAATCGTTGACCTATTCAGAACTTCTGTATTCTGCTCAACTGTTGTCGTTGCATCTTCTAAACAGCCATCGCATTCTGCCAGGTGAAATCATCTGTCAATGTGTAGAACGAAGTTTGTCAATGGTAGGTAAATGAGCTGTTCTAGCTGTGACTGTTGCCTTTTGTTTTGTTAGGTTATTGGCATGATGGCGATTGAGATGGCTGGTGACGTTTATTGTCCGTTGTCAGCTCGCGATCCGCAGCATAGATTGCATTTATTGATAGAAGAGACGCAAAGTCGTCTTGTTTTCGCTCACTGGCTAACAAAGAACAAGTTCAACAGCGGTATCGTTCTTGTGAATATCGACTCAGTGGTGCTAAATCGATATTCACGCAGTGATGGCGAAGCAGATGATCTCTCAGGCGTGAGCGTATCACCTGGTGACATAGCTTATACGATTTTCACGAGTGGATCTACAGGAGTACCAAAAGCAGTGAGTAACAGATGACCCGTTGATCAGATTTGTGAATCAGTGTGTTCGTTTTCGAAGGCTCAAGTTCGACATGAGAATTTCACTAAATGCATACGCTCTCTCAATTACATCGATTCGTTCAGTGGCAAAGATACAATTGTACAAATGTCGAGATGTTCATTTGATATCCATGTTCAAGAGATACTTGGTGCATGGATGGTGGGAGCTACATTAGTGATGCTTCGTCCACATGGAACTGTGGACTTTGACTATCTATCTCGAATAGTAGAGACGAAGCAGGTGTCGTATATGCATACCGTACCGAGCTTGATCCAAAATTTCTTCGTTTTCTTGCGAGAGAACCAGAAAGGCAAAGTGCTAAAAACTCTTCGATCACTTTGTAGTATTGGTAGGTGCTAGTGTTGGGCATTGTTCAATGTGAGCGTCAAGTATGATTGTATTTTTAGGCGAGGTATTATCGGTGAAGGTGGGTGACCTGGTCTCGAACATGGACATACCGCAATGTCTTGTGTGGAACTTGTATGGACCAGCTGAAACAACAATAGTTTCGACATTCCATTGCTTGAACGGCAGTTCGATTGGTCAAGACAGTATTCCGATCGGCACACCCCTTTCTGACTATCGATGTTTGGTGTTGAATGATTTGTTTCAGTCAGTGACGATGTCTCAAGTAGGTGAGCTATGTATAGGCGGCGCGGGCGTGTTTGCTGGCTATCTTGGACGTGATGATTTGACACAAAAGGCACTCGTTCATATCAACGACGAAGTGTATTATCGCACAGGGGATCTCGTTAAGATCGACTGCAATGGTCGCCTTCATTATCAAGGAAGAAAAGACCATCAGGTCAAGTTGCACGGACAACGGATTGAGCTTGGAGAAATCGAGCGATGTCTGCTCAGTTCATCCATCTCTGCCTGTGTGGTCATCAAGTGGGGTGATGATCATCTGGTCGCATATGTGCAGTCCTCTTCGGCTACGAACAAGAAGCAGTTGCGTGAGTATTGTCAATCTCATCTGCCACCACATATGATTCCATCACTATTCATCTTTCTGGATAAACTACCTCTGAACGCGAATGGAAAAATCGACCGAAAACTTCTACCATCGCCTGATCTTTCTGACTTTTCGTCGGCAGATGTCGATGTAGACGTGGAGTACAAGCTGCCCAGAAACGAGATCGAAAGTACAGTACATGAGATCTGGTGCGAGACTTTTCAACGCAAACAAATCTCGATCGACACCAATCTTTTCGATATTGGTGGACATTCACTGCTTCTCGTACAGCTGTACCGTAGATACAGAGCGAAATTTAGGTTTCAAACAAAAGCTGTGACTACTGCTAATCTCTTCAAGCACCCAACTATTGCGGAGCATGCTCATCTCATTCATGAAGCCATCGGCAAAACACAGACAGCTGATGACTTTCGCTGGCCTGCATTATACCTCACGCAAGGTATAGTAGATTTCTAGGCATTCCTACTGATTTGATAGTATACTTTCTCTGTTTTAGCCATGGCGTCGTTTGCGCAGGAGCGCATTTTCCTAGATGAAGAGATTCGGTTTTCTTTTAGCCACACCCGTTTCACATATGTCATGCCATCGCTTTATCGTCTAGCATCAGTCAATACCAATGACTTTCTATCAATCACTCGCTTACACGATGCACTGCGTCGGGTCATTATCAAGCACAGCAGTCTTCGAACAGCACTCTATCATGATGCCGATGGTAACATCATACAACGTTCCATCGACGTGCGCACGAACGATGCACAATGGGACACGTATAAGTTCTCAGTCAGAGATGTTCCACATGATGATCAACAAACAAATGAAGTTATCAGCGAAATATTGAATCAGTCTGATCTGTTTGACTTGTCGAAAGGACATGTCATCAATTGTCACGTTCTTCGTCGCCATCGACCACAGAATCGTATACCGAACTACGACGATGACATCTTGAAAAACGATGATCTTATATTGTTCAGTGTCCATCATGCATTCTTCGATGGTGCATCAACATTACTTTTTATTCGTGAGCTGTCTCTTGCCTATGAGAATACTACTCTTTCGTCCACGGACGAAAACAAACTTACATATATCGATTATTCCGTTCATGAGCGTCTACTGGATATGACAGTATCTCGCAACTTCTGGCGTTCACAACTAGAAGGATACAATCTTGAACAAAGACTCTCATTACCAGTTGATCGACATCGAACATCAGTAGACGAAAGGTCTGGCTTAGCCTGCACTGCTGAAATTGTGTTCGATGACGAAATGTTGATATCGTTTTTGGACTATGCATCCGTTCATCATCTGACACTCTTTCAACTTGGACTATCCTTATTTTATGTATTTCTGTTCAAATTAACTCACGGTCAAACTGATTTATGTATCTCGTCTCTGAATGCCAATCGATATCGAAGTGAACTAGAAAACATGATAGGGATGTTTGTTTCGACATTGCCGTTTCGTGTACAGCTGGATGGTGCCTGGTTATTCGATGAAGTGTTACAATATGTTAAAGAGAAGAGTTTATCCATTTACGAACATAGTTTTTATCCTTTGCAGACTATTGTGACTGATTTCCATTTGAATCTGTCAAATATTGGATTTTTAGAAACGATGTTCGAATTTGTCTCTGTTGCTGCAAGTGACCAACGATTTTCTTTTGGTGGGGTCACGTTTCAGGAGCTCGTCGTGGAGCCGTCTTATGAAGTTGTAAAATTCGATTTTTCCGCCTCGTTTGTTTATAATCCGTTGTGGACGGAGAAGAAATTGTCTTGTTCACTATTATCGTCTAATATATTCGATCGTGCTTCTATCAATAAAATAGCTCAAAGATTCAAACATTTTATAAGGCAATTATTGGTGCGGAGCTCCATCATGCGGGAAACATCTTCACCGAATAAATCCATTGATGAATTATGTTTAATGTTACCGGAAGAAATAGCAGAATTGCAAGAAACTATATTTACTTATTCAGGAAAGATCACTAAAGAAGGTAAATACACGTATAGTTATGGTAATTTATTGCTTCGCTTTGTAACTGGAAGTAGTATATAATGAGTATAATACAAATGAATGAAGAGTGTGTTGTTTTGTTTTTCAGAGAAGTTGAAAGAACATTTTTATTTATGAACAGATACATAAGGGTGAACGGTTGTAAACATATTCTAGTCCCACTAAGCTTTACAAAATAATTTGCAACTGATTCGAAATAACGCGCCAAACTTAGGAATTTTCTCTGATCAATATTTCAT